TTATTATTTATTCAAGAAAAAAAATACTTTCTAATCTAAAGATGATATATATAGCCCTGGCACATGGAATTTTTTTTTTCAAAGGAATAATCTCTTGTGAGCTAGATCCCAGTGAGAAAAAATGAATGCCCTAATACTGTTATTATCTAATAGCACCTGCAGAGGTATGTAAGCAGCTTTGGCATTAAATGAGGTGAGCAAAAATTTTTAATATTTCAACTTCTGGCATGAATTATTAATAAATTGTTACAGTTGGGAAGGAATTAAAAAAAAACAAAAGACGTTACAGCTGAGCCAAGTAGCAGTTGTTGAGCCTTAAGATCATCTAGGCAGCATCTTGCTATACTCAATTAGAAAGTTAAACTGGTGAGCACTAGGATGGAAAGTATTTGAGAAATCAAGATTGTACCGTAGACTGGAAAGTCATAAGTTATTCCCGAATGCAATAGCAAACTATTTCAGTATATGCAGAACTAAATGGATATGTCCATTTAAGTCTCCAGGAATTGAGCTTGATTTGAAAGCGATTTATCATCTAAACCTTCTATGGATGTGAAATATGTGTGTGCGTGTCTTGGAGTAGTTGCATATACACAATTACTATCAATAATATATGATAGATGATAGACAATAGATAGATGATAGGAGACAGACGGATGGGTAGAGAGAGACAGACAAATGAGAGAGAGAGAGAGAGAGAAAGAGAGAGAGAGAGAGAGAGAGAGAGAGAGAGAGAGACTGACAGATAGGCAGGCAGGCAGGCAGGCAGAGGCTGTATCTAATGAGGTTAATATGCTCGTATCATATCATAGCAGGATTCTTCCTTTTTTTAAAAAAAATGTAGGATTATAAAGCTTTTGGTCATGGACAGATATCTAAACAGCTTTTGTATAGTATGCAAATTATTGACTCAGGCAGGCCCCTTAATGAAACTTCACAGAAGGAAATTGCTGTGATATTCCATTCTTGCCAACATTATTTGATTAAATTAAAATCATATTAATATTTTATGGGTCCTTCCGATTATAGCAGCTTTTTTTTAAAGGAATCCAATACCTGCTAAGAAGCCCATTTCTACCTAACAGTGTTATTATATTTACATTTATATGTGGGCTTTCCAGAATATCTTGAATCAGATGTTTTTCTATGTAAATTAGGCTACTTTATACTCGCTACCTGAATTGGAAAATTTTGAGTTAAGTTTGGAAAATATTCAATCCCCTCAAGCTCTATTTTTTTAAGTAAATACACTGATAAACATTCAGTCTTCTATAATCACTAAACAGCCCCGAATCATTTATGGTGAATTATTTGAAATTTTAAATATTTGACATGTACATTATTTTACCTTGCTTAGAAATTAATGATTTAATTCGTATAGTTGTTAAGAATGAAAACTGAAAAAGGGCTAATTTTAAAAATGCCACATACACCTAATATTGTATTTGCAAATTGGCATTTTTTATTATTACTAATGAATGTACAAAAAGTGGAAAAATTAAACAGAGAAAAGTTTTCCACTCCACCTCACCAATTCAACCACATGTATCAAACATCTGAATCAAAAACAAAGGAAAATCCTTTAATTAGACTCAAATTCTCATAAATATAAATATTAGAAATATTGTTCTATGTTACAATGTCTAAAGTCATACCAACAGAAGAAATACAAGATGGTTTTATAATTTTCATTAAAGCAGAATTGGGATAAGCTTTGTTGACTTTTTTCTCTCCTTGATAGGTTCCAAACCACAACAGAAGTTTGAAGGAAGAAAGAAGCTGATTAAAAAGCAAACAAAAACATAATGTAAGGAAAAGAAAAAAAATGCAACTAGAATTTTGGCAACAAAGAGACAAAGACTAAAACAACTTTAAAAAGAGTGTGTTTTTTTTTTAAAAAAAAAAGATATGAAACATTCTGCAGTTAGTAGAGGATGAATAAAAATGCTAGACATTAAATATTCCGTAAGCTTCCTTTGGCATGTATTGTAGGTATCATCCCACATTTTTGCAAATATAAAATTGTCTCAGATTGTTATATTAAATCTAAATTGAATCCAGAGAGATTAAAGTCAGGGAGATTTCATGGATATTTTACTGACACAATCCAGGAAACCTTCAAATATTAATACTTACAAGAAGATTGTTAAATATGTATAGTTAGAGAAATGCCAAACATTTGTGGGGGGTTTTGGCTGAAATCCTATGCATATTTTCTTTGTATTTGAATTAATCAAATGATAAAAATTGTAGTTATTAGCAAATCATTTCTGTATCATATCTGCAAATATGTGATGGACCTAACATGCTTTCTAATCTCTTGAGTTTTAGAAAAGGCATTTCTAAATTAATGTCTGCAAGAACAGGAAGGTAAATAGATTTCTCATTTCTTTTTTAAAAAATAATTCACATTTGAATTTTTGATCCAATTCATTCCTCCCTAGATACCTTTTTCATTATTTAATGGGGCATTTTTAATTTAAAATTTACATTGCCCTTCACCTTTTGGGCTTTCCAGAAACCAAGCTATTTCAGAACTGAGAAACAAGATACCCAGAAGTCTATGGAGATTCTCAATCTCCAGGTCATGGCTGTCCCAAAGGTGCTTTGTTTTTTCGTAAAACAAAAAACAAAGTTACAACTGAAGAAGTTTCTTGGATGAAAAGTGAAACATTTTCAAACAAAAACCAAGAAAGGGATGTTATAGATGGCCAAATTAATTGTTTCTCATTGCAATCAGCATACACAATAACAAAGTTCCAGGTTTTTTTTCAAGTTCCTTGTCCAATAGTTTAAAAGGAATTTCTATGGTTTCAATTTTATATTCATTTTAAGAATCTTCTGCATTAAAATAGGAATCTGGCAGGATATTGATTTTTTTTTATATTCTCACTAGCTACTTTGACCTGATGAGATAAGGATATATGTACATAATCATCACCGTCCTCATTATTATTGAAAATAAGAAAACCCATTTGTGATTCTCTGCTGCTCTTATTTACAGTGTTATCTTAGCTAACATTTTAAAATCACTGTCAAGCTTTAGCCAATTTCTAATGTAAATGACAAAATGTCCAGAAATAGAAAATTCCAACAGCGTTTTATGCTCAGATACTTTAATGATTATATTTAGCACCTTAAGTTTTCCTAATAGTGAACTGATATTGGGAGCCCAAGGAGCCAGGAAGATGTTAAATCTAAAATAAGCTACTACCATGTTGCCCTGAAAGTAAGACCTACCCCGAAAGTAAGCCCTAGCTTGATTTTGGGGGTGGGCCTAATATAAGCCCTAGTTTTGGCGCAAGGCGCATACCTAAAATCAAACTAGGGCAGGGGGTGGAGCTGCCCCACATGCCCCGCACCTGTTTACCTTGCAGCCAGGCCTGTCGCCAGCCCACTTCTTCTACAACATCCCCAGGCCTGCATTTCTCAGTCACAGGCCTTTCCAGAAGGCCTATGCAGCCAAGAACCAAGCTATGGATTCAATTCATAGCTCGGTTCTGCAAGACCTCTGCAGCCGAGAACCGAACTATGGATTGGTACTCAGCTGCATAGGCCTTCCGGAAAGGCCTGACTGCAAAATGCAAGCTGAAATGCAACTGCAGAATGAAGCTGCTCCTTCAGTCCCAGAAGAAGTGGACCAGTTGGGTGGGGTTATCATTGCCAGAGGTGAATATAAAAGACATCCCCCAAAATAAGATCTGGTGCCTCTTTTGGAAGCAAAACAAAATAAGACCCGGTCTTATTTTCAGGAAAACATGGTATCTATCAGGTACCTATACATTACAGGTAATCCTTAACATACAACCACAATTAGGACTGGAATTTCAGTTGTTACAGTCATAAATCAACTTGGATGCAATTTTACCATATATATATTTTGTATTCTTAAATGAATCACATGGTTATGTGAATCCAGCTTCCCAATGGGCACTTTTTGGCAAAATAAAATCGCAGGAGTGTAAATGGCAATCAGTTACCAAGCCCCTGAATTGTAATCAAGTGACCTTGGGGGTAGTGCAATGACCAAAAATGACATACAGATGTGACTTTTTCTAAGGCTGTCATAAGAGTCGTCAATCCAGGACCATCTGTACATGTAGTTACATGGTGAAATCAATTAGTTATGCTAATATTATTACATTTAGAGATTTGCTTGGAAAAGTCTGTAAATATATAAGATAGCATGATCTAATTAAATCAAAGCTTTGAAATTACTTCATTGGGGTTCATCCCATCAGCTATTAGACAATCCAATTTATCATTAATTTGGTTGCAGGATGTAAGCTATTCCAAGTCCAGCTGCCATTTGCAATTGATCGATGGTGATTTTGTCAGTGCTGACGGTGTTCAAGTGGTGCTCCAGTTGTTTTGGGATTGCACCCAAGGCGCCTATTACTACCTTTGGTACTACCTTTGCTTTCTTTTGTCACGGTCATTCTATTTCTATTTGTAGGTCTTTGTATTTTACTTCCTTGGAGTTCATCCTACCAATTATTAGACAACCGAATTTATCACTGGTTGTCCTTTATAGTATACTAAAATTATCTATGGATTTCTTTGCATAACGTCTCAATTTCAGATGATTTCAGTTGTCCATCTCTCACTTTACATTTTTCCCCAATTCTCATTTTCTCAAGGAAATCGTCAAAGTAAGAAGAGAAGCACCCCAAAATTAATGCATATGTAGAATTAGAACCAAAATCCACATGAATCAAGAGTATCTAAAACAGAATAGCAATAGCTTCTAAAAGAAAGAAAGAAAAATTACACAATAGCAGATCAAAACAAAACAAAAACAAGAAGTACATTGGTTAGAGATAGATAAATATAATAAATGTATATATTGTGTCATATGATATAATTGAAGGTTCTGTTAGAATTATATAATGTGTTGTAATCATTTATGAAAGTTTCATTTTTATGCACTCAATATTTGCAAAATGAAGTCATAAGTGAGTGCATTTTAGACTTCAAAACTTTAAGCAGAGAAAACTTACTTGAACATCTGTTCATGTCTGGGGCTCGAAGACCATAGTACCCCAATGGGCAGGAATTCAAGCATTCTCCATATTGTCTCATTCCTTCTCTTCGTAGAAAGAAGAACAACTTATGTTGACATCTGATGCATCCATTGTCCTTTGAGCAAGACAAACAGCCTTTGCAAATTGGATTTGGCCCATAGTTTGCTGTGATTTTTTTTCCAGAGACAGGAAAGAGAAGGGAAGAGAAATGATAATATTAAAGCATAATATTAATCAAAGAGTAATCATACAGGATCATCCTTTTTTGTTTACAATAAACAACTAAAGAAACATTGATCAGACAGGGTTTCTTTATTATTAAATATTTTATAAAAAATTTCTCACAGTTTTAATATAACATAGAAGCAACACATTGTAAATTGGTATTTAGGCCATCAGATCCAAGTCCCTGTTCAATTAAAGCATTTGATTGATGGAATTCTTTTGTTAAAACCTTCATGCAGAATACAGTAGAAATATTATTCCCATGATATATTTGTTAAGCCTCAAATTTCATTAGCCTTTTCTTATGTTCGGTTTGTGTTCAACTATTGTTCCAAGGTCTTTTTTCCAAGTACAGAAATCATATGCAGTAGCTCCAATTCTTGCTCTGTGCATTTGATTTCCAATTCCTTTGGACAAATCGTTGCCCTTCCCACTACTAAATGTCTTTCTCTTAAAACTTAACACAACTTTCTTGTTTTCAATTTTATTTTCATAAAATTATAAACTGTCATGTTATCATCTAAACACTGGCTAACCATTTCTTCCATTTTTCATTCAAGTCATTAATAAAAATGTCCAAAAATATAGAACATTTCTATAAACCAGTCACTGTAACATTTCACATATAACTACGAAGTCCACTTTTAACTTACTTTGCTACAATAAAAAGTTTGTATGTGTGATGGTTTTATTGCAATTGATTTATTAAATATTAAAATAACAGTATAAATATAGGAGGAATAAATCTAAATGCAAAATTCTTCAAATGCGCTCATTAAATATAATAAAGATTACCGTTAGTAGAACCAAACACAACTAATGGACTTTGGCTCCTCCCCATACATACACACATACACCACACACATACACACACACACAAAGACACACATACCTACTCCTAACATGTCCATGTATTTTTCCCAGATTTTTTCTAATCTTTTCCAGAAAGAATAAAATCTTGTCCATAATGTCAGAATGGATTCAAATTTCTCCAGTGCATCCAAAACCCATTAAATCAAAATCCATTAAATACAGACCTTTCTGTGATTTGAAGCAAATAAAAATTAAGGGACAATCCAATCCACACCCAAATTCCTGAAACAGTCAAATGCTGGAAGTGGAGAATAGAATGTTCTATTTAAATTCTTCAAATTATATAACAAGAATGTATAAAAGACAGATCAAGAATCAACTTAGTGAACTTCAAGCAATCTGGTTAGGTCTCCAATTATATTATTTAAGAAAGGAAAGAGCATCTTAACTCTTGTGACCACTATTAAACAAAGCATTGAAGTGTATAATTCTTGGGAGGAAATCCTGTTAGATACATTATTTGTCAAACTTTGAACATTGCTCTTAATTATCGCTCCTTCAGGTTCAAGAGATAAGAAAGATACGATTGAAAATTATTTGAAGCTACGTTTAATCTTCTTGTTAATTTTTTAAAATGGATTGTATGCTTAACTTTGCCATCCTATGGGCTCATTTCTAAGAAAACTAGTTACTTGGTAACGAAGTTGAAGGTCAGTTTTGATGCTCTGATTTTTTGCTCTGAAATGGGCTGGTCCTAAATTCTAAGGACTGGCCTGCCTTGAGAAGATACACTTAGTTAGTATCAAACTGGGTAAGAATTGGTTATAATCTTCCTTTTGTTGGAATGTAATACAGGAACTGCAACATTAACTCTCATAGTTTTGTCATGACCTATTTTTGCTGAATGTTACACTATCAACTAGATTCCAAATACAAGTTTGGAATGCTTGCTGTATGCTAAAGCATATGTGTTCTTCTTGGTCATAATAACCAGCATTTGATAGCTCTTAAGATATAAATAAGAGCATAGGATATGGGAATGGGCTAAAATATTACACTGGACGGAGCGGTCTACACCTGAAATGCAGTACTGGATTGCTGAGCCATGTTGAAGTAATCTTTTTCCAGTGAAGAGGCAAAGACGAAGATTTTGCTCAAAGGTTTTGGAAATGTCTGTTTATAAAACATAATTTCCAGACCTTTTCTTTCTTTTATAACATAATTTCCAGGCCTTTTCTTTCTTTTTTCCATGTTTTAATTGTTATGTTTATCCATGTTGAGGTTGTGTTGAGCCCTTTTTGCAGTTGTATTTGTATTTCTCTTTTGTTCATTAGTAAAATAAAACAAACTTCTTAGACTGATGGGTTAGAAGTCACATAGGTCCCACCTCTTGGAAAGAAACCAATCAGGAAACCTCAGTACATGTTTGCGACTAATGAATGAACATATCTCATAACCACACTCATGTAGACATTATACCCCAGCGAATTAATCATTCTTATAAACTTTATTATCTGATTGTGTGATCCAAAATGTTATTAATTAAACCAGCCTGCCTTTCTGTACAGTTTATGATATATTCTATTCTGGTTCAGTTTATCTCTTTATCACCACAGGGTCAGCTGTAACCCTCTAGTTTTATAGATGAGTCTTTCCTGCTGTCACGTTTTGATGATTATACCTTTTACATGAAACCATGTGTTCTGTTGATGAATATGAAACTTTTTAAAAGGTAGCATAGTCAATTCTGGGCTGGATATTACCTTAGATGTGACCTGTTTATACATTCTACTATCAGCCTAGAGTGCTGTCCTATCATATGCAACCTACTTACTCTTTCCTAAAGCAGGAGAAGGAAATATAGGAATAGCACTTAGACTTATGTATCACTTCATAGCACTTTACAGCACTCTCTAAGTGGTTTACAATGTCAGCATATTGCCACTAACAATCTGGGTCCTCATTTTACTGACCTCGGAAGGATGGAAAGATGACTCAACCATAAGCTGGTTAGAATCAAACTCCTGGCTGTGGGCAGAATTAGCCTGCAATATAGCTATCACGAGTATTGGAGTATTGCAGTCACAAATGATGGAGTTTCTATTCTACAGAAAAGGGAACATTCTGATTTTCTATTTCTAATGACTTATCCAAAATGAATCATTTGGAAATACATTTGCTGATTAAGGGAATGATGATTACCATGATGAATGGTATTTAAAGTTAGGCCCAGATGTACAGGGCCTAAAAACAATAACATAAAATTAATAATTAAAAAACATCTGGCATTTCTGAGATTATCAATCAAGTGAATTTGGTTTTCTTTCGTTTTCTCATTTTTCTGAACCTGCCAAATTTGAGTGATATGCCTTCATTATTTTCTTTTTATATAATCCTGCACTACAATCTGCATGTAACTTGGTGCCTAACTTTCAAAACTATTTTATCAATTTGCCTATAAATATATCTTTGCAAAGAAATAAGAAAAAATGAATCTATTTATACCTCGTGTTCATGAATGTTTGATTTTTTTCAGATTTTGATCCAATTCATGTTTTCCAGTGCTACTTACTAACTATATCACAAATCTGAGACAAATACACATCATTGGTTTGTATATTTTTAATACATGTGTAAACTAGAAAAAATTAACACTGATTTTTCCCAAATATCTAACTAGTACTAGGTTAGGAAAGCTGTACCTTAGCATTATTAATATAATATATGTTACATATGAAAGATCTTTATGTACAAAATAAAGCTAAGGGTAAGATGTCTTTCAGAATACTGTTCATATATTAGTTTGTGTGTCTGAGTGTGATGCGAGACAGAGAATTCAAGTTGTGTCTATTTTAATCAGGAAACACTTGCTTTTAGATGCCAAGGTTTTTGAATAAGCAAGAGGGGGGGGGGACAGATTTCTCACAGACCAGGAAATACACATTATCCTTGATTATTAAATCAATGGAAAAAACATGGGTTTTTTCAATAGGGTTTTCACAATCATCCTATCAAGATACCTTCCCCATATCTTTTTTTTTTTTGAAAAGCCAGTATTTCTGCACTTTCTCCCCCTTTTTTTAATTCATTCTCAGTTCAAAGTATTTCACCAATATCAAAGACATATTGATAGAAATCACTTTAAAACACCCATCCTTTTCACTCCAGTGTAATTATTATTGCTTTGAAGCCAAATGTTGTCAATCTATAATGTATGTGCTTTTTTCCCTTTGGAATCATCTTCCCTCTGAACTCCTTCTTACTTCTCTAGCAGCAGCAATTAAGAGTGTAAGTACAGAATGAGAATAGTTTATAATTACTAAGAAAAAGGAAGGGGAACCCCTTGAGATGTTAATCCCACAAAAAAGTGTCCTTGAAAACATATGCTATGTACACTTCACAGTTCACTCCAAACACTTAGGACTCAAAAGGTTCAAAATTTGAAAAACATGGGCTGTTCAGTACAGACAAGCTGTTTTCTAAGTACCTATTTCCTAAAGGAAACAAGGGTCACGTCAACTTTATTTATATTTTCCTACAAAAGGAACACTCCATAAGTCTTAAATCTCTTAAGTTTCATTGCCAGCAATTGACAAAGCAAAACTGGCCTTTTCAAAGATGTTTAAAAGTGGAGGAACGATGAAAAATCAGATAACTTCCTTCAATTAATACATCATTTTCTAAACTTTCTTTAAGGCACTGATAATAATGTACAGGTAGTCCTTACTTACTTACAACCATTCATTTAGTGACCGTTTGAAGTTACAACAGCACTGAAAAAAGTAACACATGACTGTGGAGGAACGATGAAAAATCAGATAACTTCCTTCAATTAATACATCATTTTCTAAACTTTCTTTAAGGCACTGATAATAATGTACAGGTAGTCCTTACTTACTTACAACCATTCATTTAGTGACCGTTTGAAGTTACAACAGCACTGAAAAAAGTAACACATGACTGATTTTCACACTAACAACCATTGCAGTATCCCCTCTGTCATGTGATCAACGTTTGGGCACTTGGCAACTGGCAGGTATTTATCACTGTTGCACTGATGTGATGCCATTTGTAATCTTCCCAGCTGGCTTCTAACAAGCAAAGTCAATGGGGAAACCAGATTTGCT